AATAGAAAAATAATTGTACATGCATTAATAGCATCGTAATATATCCCATTAAATTGTCCAGTGATTGTCCAACGCTTGTAGTATTTTCACCACTACTTCATTAACTTCTGTAATATAACTAGACTTAGTTTTTATATAAATTGCCACCTATCTTTGCTCACACTTTCCCTGTGTTGTTTCCCTTCAGACCGCGAGGTGAAAAATCCACCGGAAGAAGACGGATGCATCATTGACAACCTGCTTAAGGACATCAGAAAGGGTTTCAAGCTGAGGAAGACCACGTCCATCAAGGGAAGCAACAACCAGAAAAGTCCCGTGGCTCCTAAGGAGAACGGAAATGCCGAGGTTGTCCCCCGTGAAGTGAGCATCGTGAACGGAGACAGCGGCACCGGAACTGACAAAACTGACGTCACTTCCGATGGGACTGAAACGAAGATGACAGAAGTATCTGTGTGCTAATAATAACCAGCTAAATAATGATAATAAATGTGATGAACGTTTTGGGTTTTTTTGAGTTACAGGAAAACGAAAAAAAAGAGGCAGCGTTGGGCTTGCGCTCGAAAGATTGCAAGTCCAGTCCTTTGGGTTATTAAGTTTCTTTATTTGAGGGAACGGGGAATTGTTTGTCTGTTTTGTTTGTTTGTTTGTTGTTGTTTTAGTTTGGGGGGGGTGTTGATAACGTAAGGTACTCGTTGGGCTGTTGGTACTTTTCCTGCTTCCTTCAGTCACTTCATTCAGTATCAAATGAGTTTCTTGTAACAACTGGAGAAGGGATAAGTAGGCAGAACATACACAAAAAGTACTGAGATAATATGCAGAAATTACCTGCCTGATAAATGGAGTTATTTATTGCGAATGCATGAGTCACATCAGATGAGGCACTCTCGCTTATACCTGTTGCAATCGTTATTGTTGATGACGGCTGTGGGGTGGGAAGTTGGAGGGGGCCATTAGTTGGTCTTACTTCTTGACTTTCCCTCTTTTGATTCTCTCTGACTGTCTTACTTTATTCCAGCACTAACTGACCATTATATTGTCGACGTGATTCTCTATACTGAAGCCAACAAGATGGCTGCTGATGCGTGCTGTGTCAAACCACAAGCTCAGTGATGTCTTGTGTGTACTCCATTATTCAAGTTTTGAAGTAACTTACTTTGAAAGTAATGAATTCCAGAAGTAAATGCAAAATGAAATGGAATTTTTGCTTTACACTAGAGTTGTACATAAAAACAAGGACTTATCTGGATTTAGCAGAATGTGCAACGGCACCTCGCGACCTTGAAGGATGGAGGGTGTACATCATGTACATGATGTCAGCCTCTGAGTCAGAGATGACACCTTCAGATATTTCATGTACTAACGTTTACCGTTTTAGCTTTGGTCTCGAGGAAGATTTTTATTTCTTGGCAGCTGTGATGAAAACTCTCAAAAGTCAGAAATTGTGGTCCGTACAAGATAGCACTCAGATGGCAAACTCATGTCGTTTGCCTTGAGAAATACCCCGCACGTCTTTTTGTTCGTTTTAATAAGTGCTTTACGACACATGCAACACACATAGGTCAAAAAGTGTTGAAGATTAGAAGTGTTACAAGAGAGTAACATACCAAGAGAAGAAGGAAGGAAAAGTACGATAGATGTTTGATGATAAAGTGCCGTAAAACTCATACTGAAACTAAAAAGAAAAGTAACGTTAATGGGAAACAATACCCAGCAAGGTGTGGTGTGCTATGTAATTATATCATCAGCTCTGCCAGTTGTTAAGTGAATCTTGCCCTTGCAGCTAATATATAAAATTAATCTGTTGTATAAAATACATGTATCTATTATATAAAACACAGCAACCTGTTATATAGAATAAAACTCGATGCGATCAATTAGAGTGAAGGTGGTTTAAGGTTAGATTTAAACTATATGATTCACATGGATTTTTTAAAAATGGTACATCATGCAAACGTGCAGTCATGAGGTAGGGAGGAAGGGAGGGAGAGTGAGGGAGGGAAGTCAAGTGAGTGAGTGAGTGAGTGAGTGAGTGAGTGAGTGAGGGAGGGAGGGAGGGAAGGAGGGAGGGAAGGAAATGAAGGGAAGTGAAGTGAGGGAGGGAGGGAGGGAGGGAGGGGAGGAGTGGAGTGAGCTAGTGAGGAAGAGAGGGGGTTAGTGAAGTGAGTGAGTGAGGAGGTGAGTGCTAAGTCGTGCCAGGGGGCAAGTCCTGAAGGTAGAAGGTGAAAGAAACGAATTCCGATTTACGTCAAAATGTCAGATGTGCAAACAGGGCTCAGTACATGTGTTCTTCATGTGTTGGCTTTTGGCTCCACAGTGGTGCACAATGGTTGTTCTGCCACCTGTATGTACATGTATGTGTAATCTTTGTGTGCTTGTACATAAATGTATGTGAATGTATACGTCTGTATGTCTGTGTGTGTGTTTGCAGGTGTGCATGTGTGCATCTGAGTGTGGGAAGGGGGGGGGGTGAGTGAGGGAGCTTGTGTGTGTGAATAAGTGTGTACTTTGGTGTTTT